CAATAGAGTCTGACTATCTATCTGGAAACCAAGCATGAAATTATATTGAAGCTAAGGTTGTTGGGAAAAAAGGCTAGAATTAAAAGCAAGAATCAACATTAAGAAAGAGATTTCAGACATGCAGTAGAGAACAGTAACCAACCCAAACAATAAAAAAACACCTACACAGGCTTAAATTGCATGAAGATGTAAGGTTTCACGGAGTAGTGTTCATTCTATCATGCAGTAAACCAAAGCTTGTGTCACAGCAATGTGGTGTCTAGAGACATCACTGCATTCAATGAAGTGCCCTATTATCCTTTAGTTTTTTAGCTGCATATTTATTTATTCTAAATGGGGAAGGATAGGTTAAAGCAAAAGGCTTCCCATGATCTTTATTGTCTTCTAAGCTTCACATGGACATTCTTAGGCAATAAAGATGGTGGACATTTGGAAGCATGCTCTGCTCTTGGGGGGGTGGGTGGGGGGGGGAGGACTGCCTGCTAAGGGGGCAAGGCCTGTGAGCGGCAATGGGCAACTGACTGAGAGAGATCCAGTGGAGAAGAGGTGGGGACACTGGATAGGGTAGGAGAAGCTACAGAGTCAGTAGAGGGGTTAAGGAGACTATAAGGTAACCCAACTTTGGAGAGAATGTATGGATATGTGTTGGATATAGAATGTGAGTAAGGATATGTGTGAAGTAGTATTTATTTGAGGGTGATCTTGAAAGAACAGGAAGACTGGTTGGACTGAATTAATTTTATGTCTGGAAGTGTCACCACAACCTACTATTCAGTTTATTGTACCATTCCTCATCTTTTTGCTCACTAATCTACTTTTTTGGGCAATGGATATTATTTTTATCAAGTGGGCCCACTACAGCAGCCATTTCATGTATGTACAGCTCCCACAGCAGCCATTTTATATGGTAAGTGGGATATTTTCTCAAAATCCCAAATCTCCTCCTCATCCTAAAGATCTCACATATCAGAAGATTTATACCTTTTTATATTCAGAAGGATTTTGGCTCCTTAGTTATTGTTCTTTTTGTCCTAGATATTTTCAGAGGTATTTTCTGTTTTTGTCACCCAGCAGAAACAGAATTTTGAACTGATCTGAGTTGCTGCTGGATCCAAAAATTTAAAGTATTTGGAGTACTACCTATGTATAAGGAATTTCTATTGCATAACTGAAGTGTAATTGAATGGGGTTAGATTTATAAATTATGATGTGAGTGGGAAGAAAAATGTTAATATGGATACCTTAATATTCAATGTGGTAAAAGAGCAATTGGACTTCATTGAAGTTGCACTTGCTTTTCAGTTTTGTCATAATAATCCCAAATCAGAGAACGAGAAAAGGATTGCAAACATTAAATGATAGAATATTAAAAAATAGACAATTGTAATATCTTAAAACCATGAAATTATAGCATCTTAAAATTGGGACACAGACAAAAACAGGGAGAGCAGTCCTTCATATATCCTGTTCCAAGACAGTCTTCCCCAATGTGGTATCTTCTAGATGCTGTCTGGAAATTCTCAGAATCACAGCTCCAAGACACCTGGAGAGAGCCAGGTTGAGAAGAGCTGAAGAAGGCCTATAACATCCCTATCTTAAGGAAAACAGCAAGATTTCGAGCGTCTCCATGGTTTGGAAATCAGACTTCAGCAACACAGTCTATCATTTAGTCAAGGCCTACCTCATAGCCTGTAATTGCTATCTGGTGCATGGAATCATTTGCCGACTTGATGATATCAAGGACTGTTGCTAAAGCTTCTTCAAGTTCAGCAGTGCCTTCAGAATTCTTGCTGCATTTTATCATTTCCTGGTTGTAAAGGGATAAAAAAGGCAAATGCCTTATCACAAGGCATTACAAATGCTCCATCATGTCAACACCCTTACACAGATCTGTGGCAAAGAAGAATCCTTCCATGAATTCACACACACACCCATTTAACAAACTGGATCTTAACCTCATATAAATCTGTGGTATGGCTGCACTTAGAATCCTGGATATGGTTTTGGCCACCACACCTCAGAAAGAATAACAAGCAGCTTTAAAGGGGACAGAAAAGGGCAGCTGAAATGAGTATGGGGCTAGCATGGCTTTTCTGTGAAGAAAAACAATAGCCTTAGTTTAGAGCAAAAACAGGGATGGGAAACATAGTAGAAGTTTGTAAAATCATCTATCATATAGTAATAGTAGTTTTAGAAGAAGTAGTAGGTATAGAAAATGTGGACTTTTTTTTTCTCCCTCTCTTATAATACTATAACTTATATTCATCCACTGGAAGTAAGGATGTTTTCGTATGAAGACTCTGCCAGTTCAGAGGCAGCTCTGGATCTCTGTGATCCTAAAATGTGACAGCTGAACTCCTCCTGGCTCCTGAGCGTCAGATCTCCTATCAGGTCTTTTAAGGGGAATGGTGGCTTGGGTAAGCAAGGGTAAAATTGACAAGATTCTATCTATGGAAGTCCCCTTAGAACTATTTCCACTTTCTGTAGCTTCAAAGGCATGTATTTTGTTTAGAAAGTGCTGTCCTTTCTCACTTTCAGCACGTTGGCCCTTTCAGGTAAGCCAGGTCAGGTAACAGACACCATCAGAAATTTTAGAACTCCACATTATTAATATAGGCAATAATAATAGAATCTGACATTTCCTCTTCCTTCCCTTCCCTTCAAAGTGAGGCAACTTAAAGTTTCTTTCTCATGCTGTCTTGTCTTCATGTTTTGCTAAAGGTGTCTGCATATCTTTTTCAAGGTCATCTCTGTGTTGCTTTAAACAACCACTGTTGGAGCCTACAATCGTGATTAGAGATGCTGGGAAAAGTGCCTGGGAGCAACACTGATCACACTTCATTCAAGTTCTGAGTGGCATTTTTAATACAGAAAGAATGATTGTTTAGTAGCCAGGCAGTTTTGCCCTCTTCTAAATGCTCAGGGTTTTGTTTGTTTGCAAAACACCTACAGCCTAAATATGCATTTCAAATGGGGCTGGAGGGGTTGCTAGTAATATCTTTCCTTTGTGGGGAAGTGGTACAGGGATTTTTGTCTTTGATTGCTTCAGCATCAGCAGTACTGTGAATTATTTTCTGGCACCGTTCTCCTGGTCAGCTGGAAGGAGAGCCCTAAGTGATTCATGGTTTTCTCAGCATGTTCTCAGCACTCTGAGATTGGCAGGACCAAATGGGATTGGCAGGCCTGCTTTAAGCTCCATTAGAGGAATTGGGAATGCAAAAAGATGCAATGTGGAAGTGACCAATGTGTGGGGATTTGCAGAATTGGTAAAAGGAAGTACTCCCTTATACAATGCACAAACTAAAGAATTTGTTGCCCTCAGCTATGTTGATAGTCATGGTTTTAAGAGAGGTTCAGACAAATGCATGGAGATGGAGGCTATGGTTGATGGTTGCACATCATTTGTTGAATCAAAGGGATTCAGATGATGGGATATCTGATACCCCATTAACAACTTCCTATCCTGTTTTGGAACTTCACAGATACATCTATCAAGTGCTAAATGATCCAGAATGTTAGACCTGGGGACGGATCCAACAATGCTTTCCTAACATTAATGTGATAACTGTTGAATTACGTCCAGGTGTTTCATCCAGGCTAATGATAATAGTAAGTTAATATGACAGAAGAGTTCTTTGAATTCACTTACACTGGGTATTTGTCCTTTTTTCTTTTTTGTAACTTAAGGATCCTGAAATCATAGGAAAGTGAGATCATGCTGTTCACATATCACATTAATCAGATAATTATAAAAAATCTTTTTATGTTGGGAAATGCCACCAGAAGGTATTGAATTATAGGGGAAAGAGAGAACTTCTATGGGTGTTCAAGATTCTGTTATTATAACCTATAACAATTAAATAGCGTTCCAGTAGTGTTGTAGTGTCTGCTTCCTATCTACCTTGAAAGGCTGATTCATGCAACATTCTACAATCAAACAACTGATACTTTCCTGAAGCAGACTGGAATTTCTGGAAGGGGTTCCCACTCTAGTTTACAATTCCTATTCTAGTTTACATATCACACAAACAAGCCTTCCAATTGTAAAGAGTTAAAAGAGGCATGAAATTAAAACAATTCTGCAGAAGAAAAAAAAAATTTTTTTTGGTCAGTCTGCTCCTGACAAGCACATAATTCAAAAAAGGAAAGAGAACAATGTTATATGAAGACTCACTATTTAATATCATCATATATACTGGCACTAAGAACTCTTACTTCAGTATATTGGGTCAAACTGCAGAACTGTTAAAGAATGTTTATCAACATTCCAGCTGCTGAAGTTGACAAACTCAGGAAAGTCCTCCCACTCCCACTCTGATACCTTCCAGATGTGCTAAAATGGCAAGTTCTCAACAAATATGGCCATACAGCCCCAATACATCTGAAGGGCTCCAGATTAGAAAAGGATGGGTTTGGACATGATTTGATTTGTACATTGTTGGTCATAAAGAGCAAAGCAGAGAAAGGAGATAGCAGAACTATACAAATATCAGTCAAGTATTACCTTGTGTATATAACAATTGTGTGAGAGAGAGGAGTAAGTCAATGGGTTGTGTGAATTTTATGTGTATGCAAATATTGCACATGAATATGTGCCAGTGAACGAAGGCAGAATAGATTTAAATGTGTTTTGAATGATGAATTTGAATCTTAAGCTGACATTTTTCCCTGAGAAATATTATACCATAACAACCGCATAATTTTCTGAAATTTAATTTGAAATACGTGCTCTGCTTAACCTCAACAGAGTTCTTTGGTATAGATGAAGCTTCATGCCATTAGTAAGATTTAAGTCACATGTGCCTGGAGATTAATTCCCCAAGGCTGATTTCAGGTTTCACCAACATAAGAGACTATAAAGATGAAATTATCAATATTCAATTTCTGCTCTAAAGTTGACCCTCAGACAAAACAAAGCTGGGCTTCTGACAAGTAGGATCAACATTTTGGACAAAGACTTCTTCTGATCAAATAGGATGGTTTCAATGGAAGCCAGACAATAAGAGAAGTTGATCTCATATTCTCTTCTTTGCCATCATATCTTGCCTTTCTGTCTGAATTTTTACAATCTCTTTCTCAGCAGCTAGCTTGAGGAACCTACTTTGGGCTTAATCATCAGAATGGAATGAGAAAATCAAAATACAACAGCTAAATTGGAATATAATTGAGCTTCTGCCAACAATATGTTTTTTAACGATCTACTTTTTATGGATCTTATTACTTGGTGGAAGGAGGTACCATTCTGCCTACTTTATCAGCTACTTTTTAAGTACTGCCAGTCATGGCCACTCACTGGTGGCACTGCCCTTCCCTTGCTCGTTACCGATTGCCCCTTCCTGCTTCAACCTACATCACTCCTCTGTGCTGGTTATCTCCTCAGCTCTTACTCTCAACACTGGTTCACCACAGGGCTGCGTGTTGAGT